AGAGAAACACTTATTCTACTGAGCTATCTGCCTGGCCCCCCAAGAATTTATTTTAAATGTATCTTGCATCCCAGTGTGGAATGGATCATATATCCTACTTCATTTAATCTTTAAAAAATCCAAAGACAAGTAAGAGTATAATCATTAAGTATAGATGAGAGGTCTCCAAAAGGCAATGTAACTTACCCATGTAAGGCCAGTTCCAGAATCAAAAGCAGGCATCCTTAACATGGGCGTATGTTCTCTTCATGGACTGTACCTTATTGCCTCCCACTTTATGCACTTGCCTTCCTGGTTCACTTTGTGAGCCACCCCTGCCATCCAATCAACTATACTCTTTTCTTCCTAAAACAGCTGGTATATATTCCAATCTTTTTTTATTTTCTCAGCCTGTTATCATTCTCAAATTTCAGTTGTCATCAAAATCACATGAAGTCATTGTTAAACCAGATTACTATCACTGAGAGACTCTGAGATGCCATCCCAGGATTTGCTTTTCCAATGAGTTTCCAGCTGATGTGGATGTTACTGGCCTGGAAATCACATTTTGAAAGCTGTTTTCTTTTTACTTATCTAAATTGTACACCCTTAAAAACTGCGCCTTGCATGGTTTTCAGAGTACTGTTTTAGCATCACAGCCTCCAGTAGCCACATTCGCTTCTAATTTAATATTTCCTTTACCATTTTGAGAATGCATCTCTGCCTTGTGTTTATTTCAACACATAGCTCTAGAAAACATTGTTTTTGTCTAATTATCTGCATGCCTGTTTTATAGCCATAAATAGTTTATTGACACTTGATATCACATATTTCTTCAAATTCCCATGGTCAAAATGTTTGCATTTATGTGTATAATGCATACTCAGATATTTGATAATATATATATATATGTGTGTGTGTGTGTGTGTGTAATTTATTATCAAACACAATTGCATGATATATACAGAATTCCCAAATCACTCTCAGTTCTCTTCTGAGCTCCAGACCACATAAAAGAATTAACTGCAAGTGTTTATTCAGTATTTACTGTGCCTGGCACTATTCTCACATTTTACACGTTGAACATAGTTAACATTCGCCATAATACAAACAGTAGGTGGCACTCTTCTCCCCATTTGATAAACAACCAAGGCCCAGAGAGGCTGAGCAACCTGCATAAAGCCACACACTTCTCATCCCTACCCCACAAGCCCAGGGATCGCTCAAACTCAGTATGTCTGTGATCTGGCTTACCACCTTCCTCTCCAAACAATTCCACACCTGCGCTCTGCCCACACCCACGCCAGAAATGAAGTCATCTCTGACTCCTTCCTCCCTCACTCCTTCATTCAAACCAAGTTGTGTCCTGCCAGTTGTAGCTCTTCTCCATGCCCACAGTGCTGATGTGTCAGGCCCCCTGCTGCTCCTCCTAGATTACTGGCTCTCATCACCTTGTTTGCTTGTTTGCTTGTTTGTTTGTTTGTTTGTTTGAGACAGGGTCTTGCGATCCTTCTGCTTCAGGCTCCGAAGTGCTAGGATCACAGGTGTGCACTACTATGCCCGGCACATCACGTTTTCTTTAGGCCCATGTCCCCCCATCTCCTGGCCCATGCAGGGCAGCTCAGGGGGCTTTCTAAATCCTCTTACTATGTCCTCCACCTCCAAAAGGAAGCCCAGAGTACCCCTGCCCCCAAAGCCTCATATGTTTAGAAGTGGGGCTTTAAAATGTGATTGGAGGTCCTTTAAAGACTTCTCCAAATACAGCTTCTCTAACAACAGTGGAACAGCCATCTCTGACAAAACAAAACAAAAAAGGGGGCTATAAATAAGGGACCATTTTGTAGTGAAAAAATATATGTATATACAAAATAGGATAGATATACAGCTACCTTCTATTAGTTCAATGAGAAGAAAGGTTTATACTAATATTATTTAGACAAGATATCATGTCTGCATCCTGTCCTCTTTATAACTACTATGAAGGTAACAATATGTAGTGTATTAATTGTTGAAACTGTCCTACTAACCTGTTTTGAAACTATTTCATTGCTATTTTTTTCTCATTAAAATGAATAAAAAAATTTTTTAAATGTGATTGGGTCATGGGACTGCTGAACTCAATTAGTAGATTCCTGGTCAGAAGAGGCAGGTCACTGATGGCATTACCTAGAAAGGCGTCTCTCCCTCCCTGGCTCTCTACCTCCTGCCACCAGGAATGAGCAGCTCTCCTCCACCCAGACCCTTCTACCATGCTGTTTGGCCTAGGAACCAGCCAACCATGGACCCAAACAAACCTCTTCCCCTTTAAATTGTGGGGAGCTTGTGTTTGTCCCAGCAATAACACAGCAACTTAAAGATACTTCCTCTGCCCCTGTCCTCACAAACTTAAGAGTGGCTCTTAGCCCTGGGGAGGATGTCACTCGGCCCCTCTCTGCTATGTCTCCTAGAAAAGCCATTCCTAGCTTCCATCAGAGACTGGATGTGAACTCCTTCTAAATCCCAAGACCCCCATGTCCTCCTCCCCACTTTAGCTCTTTCCTCCAAATAGCCTGTCCCCAAGAAGGCTGCATTCCTTGAAGACAGAAAGACAGACCCAGCCTTATCCATCAGGCCTGAGGTGGGGCTGTGCAGTAAGTACGGAACAGCTGACTGTAGGAGTGACAACAGGAACCACGGTGATGCTCCTTGCTGAGTTGCAGAAAGCAGGACAATTTCTGCTCAGCTCCACCACCAGCAGGTCCTGGAATCCCTAGGCCATCCACCTTCTGTTTTCTCCTTCTCAACTCTGGTATTCCTCCACGGGGGACAGTCCTGGGTTGGGAGGGAAGAGAGGCCCAACCCCTGCCTGCTTTCAACCAGCCAAGCACTCCCAAGTAAAAACTGATTCTTGGAACAAGGATGAAACAGTCTTAATTTTCTTATGTACAATTATTTGTGCATACAAAGACAGAAATGTGTGGTATACCTATGGTACAAAATGTGAAGTAAGAAAATATATCTAAAAGGCTGCTGAGGAGAGCTCTAACCAAAAAAAAAAAAAAAAGGCCTGGGGAGATAGCTCAGTAGAATAAGTGCTTGCCTGGAAAGCACAGTGTCCTCAGTTCAATCCCCAGTACCACAAAAAATAAAAAATAAATAAATAAATTTTTTTAAAAAAAAAAAGAGTGTGAAAAATTCTGATCTTGATCCTTGGGCCTTGTCTTACAAGAACTGGCCGGGACAGAGCAAAGGAGAACCCAGGACCATTCGAAGTCATATCCCAGAGGGATCCCAGAATTGTCCCCTTACCACCAAGCTTTGATCCTTCCCCAAACCATCCCCTCCCTCCCGCTGGCCTGAAAGTCCACTGTTCTTTGTCCAGCAGCCTTTCATCTTGCCCTCAGACTACAGGTCACTTATTAGCCTCCCCAGCTCTCAGCGATGGAAAGACTTGACATCTCTCAACCCTTCCCTAACTAGGAAGCTTCCAGATGAATCCAGGAGGGAAGCCCAAACACAGGAAGTCCCAGAGAGCACTGCTGTAGAACACAACTTTCTTTCTAGGGTAGGGTTGGGGTCACAAACTCTACTTAGAAGTGCTCTATAGGCATGGAGCCGCTTGAGGGTGGGATAGGCTGGGTTAAGGCAAGGCCTGCAGGGGTGGCAGAGGTTGCAGAGACAGGAGTGAGGGGGGAGGGCATGCCTGGGTTGGCCTTGGACAATACAGTTATCCTGTTGTCTTCACCCACCATGGAGTTCTCCAGTCTCTGGGGGTTTCGTGGGATGACAATGAAGACCAGGTAGATGATGCCACCTAGATAGGCACCCACAAGTGGTGCCACAACTGGAACCCACCACCAGTTGTCCCTGGCAAAGCAAGAGGCAGAGGCCTAAGGACAAGGCCAGTCCAAGGATGGCACTCATAACCAAGATAGGGCAAGCAGAGGGGCCACCCCACCTCACCCTAGAGAAGGCCCTCCCCTGGGGCCCCAGCCTAATTCAGGGATGGGGGTTTGATAGTTCTGGAGTCAAATTAGCACCCATGCTATTCTCAGGAAACATCAGGGAGCAAGACTCTCCTGCACTGCTCTGACAGCCCCTTCCTCCTCTGTGTTCAGGATACCCACAAAAACTTGCAGAAATCGGGCCTGGCAAGGGCATTACCTGAACACCTCTTTGCCCCAGCCAGCAATGAAGGTGAAGAGGCGAGGCGGCAGGTCTCGAGATGGGTTGATCGCATATCCAGTGTTCATGCCTAACGACACCCCAATGATGACGATGAGGATGCCAATCACCAGGGCCTGGGTCCCTTGCAGGGCTGGGTTGTTCTTCTTGTCCGTGATGGCAAAGAGACACAGCTGGAGCATCCCTGTCAGCAACATCTGGGAAGCAGACACTCTTAGCAGCCTACTGGGGTCCTAAGCAAGCCACAGGGCCCCTGTCTTTCCCCAAATCCCAACACACTGGTCAAAGCATGTTCTTAGTAAGGTCCCAGTCTGGAATTCTTGTCCTCTTTCTTACAGAGGACGGTGGGCTTGGGGAGAAGGATACTGACCTCGTTCAAGAAGCCCCACCACAATGTCATGTAGTCAGGAAGGTAGGTGGCAAAAATGCCAGCGGTGGCTGTGCGGCCCGTCACAGTCAGCTGTCCACCCGAGAAGTGGAGAATAGCCACTGTGGAGACAGACTGAGCTCAGCCCCTGGTTAATCCCAGGCATGGGGTTGTGGGGTACAGGGTTGGGGAGCACCCCGAAGGCTTTCTTCTCCTAGGCAGTTTAACAGACCGCTGCATCAGCACTAGACCTGCCCATATTTCAGAGAAGGCCAAAGCCAGAGGAACCCAGCCAGGGTGGAGCACTCACTGTAGAAGAGGCCATAGATGGTGGCAGAAGCCACAAAGGAGCCCAGGAACTGGCCCAGCACATACACAGGAAATTTTTTCCAGGGCATGCGACCTAAAGCACAGCTGGCGAAGGTCACAGCTGCATTCATGTGGGCGCCTGTGGGGAGAGAGAGGTGAGTCAAGTGGGCGAGAGCCGAAGCAACAAAATGAATGATACCTCCAGCAGCAATAAGAAACAATAATGGCTAGTGTTGTGGAATGTGTTTTCTGAGACAAGAGCCCTCTCAGATAACCCTTACAACCTGCCCACCATTTCCATCTCACCATTAAGAAAAGTGAGGAATACAGAAGAAAAATAATTTGCCTAAGATGACCTAGCTTTATTGTGGCAAACCTACAGCACGCATATCACAATGGGCTCCTACCAGGGAAAGAGCTAAAAGATTCACCATCACCGATCTAGCTAGTCAGTCAGGGGAGCCCACAAAGAGTCTTGGGAAGACACAGGCAGAAAGTCAAGGGTTCAGAAAGGTCTTCTCCTCCTTCCGGGGGCCAAAAGGTCATGCCACAAAAGGGGCTGCCTGGAGGTGGGCAGGAAAGAACCTGCCAGAAATACCCAGCCTCACCCAGTCAGGAAGGAACAGGGTTCACTCACCTGAGATGTTGCCCGCCATATGCACTCCCATGGTGACTCCAAAGCCAAAACCCAAGTTGACACCAAGGTAGCTTCCATATATGTCATTTCCTAGAACCATGTGGGCCACGGCACCAAGGCCAAACACCTGCGAAGGGGGGCTCCTGAAAGGATTGCCTTTCCAGAAGCCCCAGACTCAGAGAACAGCTCACAGCTTAGTTCTACCTCCCTTCCATGCCCAGAACCGGGGCCTGCCCTACATCACCCTGAATGACCCTCTGTCATGTTTTCTTCCTCCAGAAATTTCTCTCTTATGGTCTGTTAGAAGCGATAGCTGAGGGACAGCCAGATAGCTCAAGGACTGGCCAGATAGCTCAGCAGACTACAGCGCCTGCTTAGGCAGAGAGCAGCGGCCAGGGCCCCGCCCCTGGGGAGGGGCATGCTGAGACAGCAGTTAAGACTGGGTATGGTGGTGCACACCTGTAATCCCAGCACTTGAGAGGCTGAAAACAGGAGAAACACTACAAGTCCAATCTATACAGTGAGACCCTGTAGACCCTGTCCTAAATACATTTTTTAAAAGAAGCAAAAGTGAGAGCTGGGTGGTGAATGTAAAAAAAGATCCAGACTGGAGCGACAGAGTCAGAGGCCCTCATGATGTATCCAAACACCTTGATCCCCACCAAACCCCCCTGAGGTTGGGGTAAGGACAGGGCATCAAGATGGTGGGCCTGCACTTCTCATAGCCCCTCGCTCTCCAGGCTAGCCTGAGGATGTTTCTATTAGTGCTTCAGTAGGAAGTGCTGGATTATTCTCCCCATTTGGAAAATGGGCAACCTGAAGCTTAGAGAAATTGACTGGCTTATCCAAGGTCACCCAGCCTGTAAAATAATGAGCCAGGATTGAATCCAGACAGCCATCTATGCCAGAAGGCCTTAGACCAAACAAGCACACGTCCCAAGCTGTGCTTTGCTTTCTCGTGCTGGGTGTGCTCTTCCCTTTGCTGCAACACCCAACCCTACATTCTGAAGAGTTGATTCTCTTCAAGGTCAAGATCAGGTGGCATCTCTTTAGAAATATCTATGTCTTTTAGACACATGGTTTTTATTTTTGTTTTGTTATGGTACTAGGGATTGAACCCAGTACTGTCAGGATGAGCTATATGCCCAGAATGTTTTTTTCTTTTTTGTCTTTTTGAGACATGGTCTGTAGCTTAGGCTGGCCTTCAGCTCACTTTGTAGCCCAGGCTGGTCTCACACTCACAACAATCCTCTTGCCTCAGCCTCCCAAAGTGCTAGAATTATAGTCATGTTCCACAACACAGTTTAGATATATAGTTTTGTTATGTTTTTTAAGTTTTGGCTTTTTTTTTTTAGTTTTGGTTTTTTGAGACAAGGTCTTGCTATATAGATCAAGGCTGACCTTGAACTCACTATGTAGCCCACACTGGTCTTGAACTCACAGTGATTATGAGTTATGGTTTGTGTCTAGATGCCCCCCCCAAGCTTCATGCGGTCATGAGGGTGGGCTTCTAGAGTTTGTGATTGATTCATAGTCTAATGCTGGGATTATGGACGCGAGTGCTACACCCACCCCCAGGTGAGTAGCTTGCATACAAAATAAGGGAGGGAAAGATGCTTGCTCTCAGCTTCTCCCTTTCACTCTTGTTGCCTTTGCTGCCTTTCTCTGCCATGAACTGCTGCTCTCTGCCATGTGCCAACCTGGCTTGGAGCCAGCTGAGTACGGACTGAAACTTCCACAGGCCATGAGCTAAATAAACCTTTCCTTCCTCAATTTCAGGTATTGTCTCACCAACAAGAGAAAAGTAGGGGGCCTGCCACTTAGCTCAGTTGTTTAAGAGCCTGCTTAAACAAAGCAGTCAGGCTCAGGATGCTGTGGTTCAATCCCCAGATGCTCAAGCCAAACTAGACCTGCCCTGAAGGCATCCTGAGCCCACCAAGAAAAAAAAAAATCTTGGGCTGGAGAGATAGCTCAGTAGAATAAGCACTTGCCTGGCAAGCACAAGGGCCTGAGTTCAATCCCTGGTTCAGAGAGAGAGAGAGAGAGAGAGAGAGAGAGAGAGAGAGAACTAAGACAGTGACCCTCCTGCCTCAGCCTATCTAGCACTTGGACTACAGGTGAGTGCCACCATGCCCATCAAATATGTAGATTCCGAAGGAACTTTAGGGCTTCTGGCTGCTGGAAATCACCCACTGATTGCATATGATTATGTGCTTGAAATTTGGTTAGTCCACCAGGCTCAGTGGCATGTGCCTGTAATCCCAGCATTCTGGGAGGTTGATGCAGGAGGATCTCAAGTTCGAGCCTAACCTGGACAACTTCATAGCTTAGTAATACTCTGTCTGAAAATAATAAATAAAAAGGCTTGGAATGTAGCTCAGTATGGAGGGCCTCATTTCAATCCCTAGTACCTCAGATATTAGTAATAATTTTTTTTTTTTTTTGGTTCCTCGAATGCCTTCAGGGCACTATTGGCCAGCGGGAGAGGTGTGAGGTTCGAACTCCAGCAACCTGAGGCTGACAGCTTTGTGGAAGCAGCCACTTAAAGGCCTGAGCTAGGGCCAGGCCCCCTATTAGTAATAATTTATTTATACATTAATTACATGTTGAAATGATATTTTGGGCTGGGCATGGTAGCACACAGCACAACGCTATCTACTCTAAGCAGTGAGACAGGAGAGCTACAAGTTCAAGGCCAGTCTAGACAATTTAGTAAGACCGTGTCCCAAAATAAAAATATTGGGCTGGGGATATAGCTCAGTGGCTTAAGTGCCTGCCTGGCAAGCACAAGGTCCAGAGTTCAATCCCTGGTATTGCCAAAAATAAATAAATATTAAAAAAATAAAAGTACCAAAATAAAAAATATTAAAAGGAAAGGGGGGGCTGGTGAGATGGCTCAGTGGTCTAAAGCACCTACTTAGAACAAGCTAAGCTAAGCAAAGCACAGGGACCGTGGTTCAATCCCCCAGCACCACATGCCAGCCAGCCCTGAACCCTGGTGGACTGAGCTGGACACACACACACACACACACACACACACACACACACATACATACATAAAATAAAATAAATTTTAAAAAAAGGAAACGGGATGAACCCAGCATTCTCTAGACCCAATCACCCAGTATGGAAAGCATAGTTTAAGAAGTGATACTTCAGACATATGGGTTAAATATAATAATTACTCAAATAAATTCTACCAAGTGCATTTTGTTTTGTTATTGTGCCTACTAGAACATTTTGAATCACATATGTGACTGATAGGTAGTTTCCTTGGACAGCTCTGTCTAGGGTTTATGAAAGGAAACCTAGAGAATTATGGACACAAATTGGAAGCTCCTGCTGGGTAAAAGCCCCGGGAGAGCACAAGGTCAGAGGCAGCGGCACTCTCGTGCTGAAATGAGGGAGCAAGGAGAGAATGTGCCTCGAGGGCCAGGTAAAGACAGTGGTTGAAGTGCACGAAGGTACGGAAAGCTCCCCTCAGGATGTGGCCATCCCCCGTGATCACTGCTAACATGATGAGCACTATGTCGCCTGGTCGTATGCCTGTCTTTCTTATTTTGTTCTGTTTCTTTTTATGGCACTGGGATCAAATCCAGGTCCTCATTCATACTAAGCAAATGTTCTTATACCCCGTGGCTGATGAGAAAGAGTTGAAAGGTGCCAGCATTGGTATCTCTTTGAGAACTATGGGAAGGCCGGTGGGGGAGTGACATGATAATCGAGGGGCTCATAGGATACAGGGAAGGATATTTTATGTTGTGCTGCTTTATTTTGTTTTGCTTTGCTTTGCTTTTTGATATTGGGGCTTGAACACAGCTCACACTGCACTTCATCCACAGCCCTTTTTCTTTTTATTCTGAGGTTGTGTCTTACTAAGTTTCCCAGGCAGGCTGGGCACAGTGGTGCACACTTGAAATCCCTGTACTCTGGGAGCCAGGGGTAGCAGATTCACCATTTGAGCTCACCCTGCCTCAAAAAATAAAATGGCCTGCAGATATAGCTCAGTATGAAGGCCCTGTGTTTTCTAGCATTGTAAACCAACAAACAAACAAAAATTCTGAGGTTGACCACAAACTTGCAATCCTTCTGCCTCAGTCTCCCAAGTAGCCAGGGCTATAAGTGTGTGGCACCATGCTCGGTTTGGTTAACACAGAGGGGCTTTAGCATATTTATAGGCTGTGAGACGCACATACTGAAGAAAAAGGAGAGAGAATGTGACACAGCAAATATGTTCAAATGGACTGGAGGGATGGACTGAGCAGCATTGGAGGGGTCATCAGAAAGGAGGGGACCCATCCTAGATGAAGAGAGATGTATGAATGTTCAGGGAGATAAAAGGTAGGGAGGTGACAGAAAGGTGAGGAGGTGCCTCAGAAAGCCCACCTGATGATTTTCTCTGACAAGCAAGAGATCAAGTCATCTACTGATTTAAAGTATGATGGGCAGAGAAGAGAGCCTCTTTGGAGTCTAAGAAACATGAGCCAGCTCAGGGAAGGTAGAGAAGAGGCAGTTGATCAGGAGCCCACCACAGGTGCAGGAGATGGCTGGCTCAAGGTCCAGGAGAAGATGCAGCGAGGAAGACAGGAACCAACAGGGATTGGGTGGAAGGCCCCGGCCAGGCCAGCTGACAGTCAAGGGAGCCAGAAGAACAGGACTGGAGCAACGTCCCCATTCCATTCCCATTGCCCCATGTCAGAACCATATGCTAAAAATAACAAATGAGTAGATAAACCCTACACAATCTTCTGGGTCAGAGTTGCCAACTGGCAAGGCCTATGCCTGATCCACCGAAACACAGGTTTTGTTTGGATAACGTGGCTTTGATGATGGTAAGATTCAGACCCCCTTGAAAAAGGAGAACCTTGGACAATTCTGGCCTGCATTCCCCCCTCGATGGCAACAACCAGCTGGAGAGTATCAGCTGTACCTGTACACAGATCTGTGCTTCACAGTCGGCCGGTCTCCACCCTGCGCTGACTTGGCTGCAGCAGCATCTAAGCTGGCAACACTTGCTCCGTGGCCCGTGTGTGGACCTATGCAAGTGGACTGCGAGGGGCCCTGTGCACAGGTTCCGGGGCCTGAAGGCTCCAGCCCTTCCCTCCCTGGTCAGTGAATGTAGTCAACAGCCAGGAAGCCAGCTCTGAGAACAACAACCCCAGAGTTGTAGAATAGAACAATCATTTCCCTCATCTTGGCTGCAATAAATGGGGCCCAAGGTCACACTAGCCTTTTTGGGCAACAAAACCTTTACCCTGGTGATTCACTGAACTTCCTATGAATTGAAAAGGTCACTATTTCTTGGCACAGGCCTGGCAACTAAAAATAACAACATATTTTCCGCCATGAACTTAAACATTCTCCAAGTTCCTTACAAGCATTATTTCCCTTCAGTCCCCTCAGAAAATCTGTGTAGCAGATGTTTTGCTGTCACTTGCACATGGGGAAACTGAGGCCCAGAGAAGGGTCTTGAACTACTCAAAGCCTGAAAGCAAAGACCTTTCCTTAGCTTGAGAAGAGTCAGTAAGCTACAGTCTTAGAAAACCTGCCAACTGGGGCGAGGGTGCGCTGTGGATACAACTAAGCGATAGAGCACTTGCCCAGCATGCTCAAGGGCCTGGGTCTGATTCCCAGCACCGCTAGAAAAAAGAATCAAAACCCCCCAAAAGATTTGTTATCTCTAATCCAAGGGACCCAGGAAAATGATTAAAGGGCAATACTATGATAGTAAACTGGACTGGATTTCATCCTAACTTAAAGTGTGACCTAGGACTAATGGCTTAATATCAGGGGCCTTAGTTTCCCCATCTGTAAAATGAGAATAATAATTGTACCTACCTTCAGGGTCATTCTGGGATTTTTATTTTGGATTTTGTTGTTGTTGTTTGATTGGTTGGTTGGTTTGGTTTGATTTGGTCGGTATTTTGTTTTTGTTTTTAAGACAGAGTCACACTATGTAGCCCAGGCTGTCCTCAAACTCACAGCAATCCTCCTGCCTCAGCTGACACAGCCACGTAATGATTTGAAAAGATGCTGCAGGAAGGGGCTTAAATCATAGTTCTTGCTATGCAGTATGTGCACAACAATTATCTAAACAAAAGAAAAGCAGAAAGCAGATGTGGACAGGTAGTAAGACAGAATGCCAATCCCTGCTTTCCTCAAGAGCTCTCCCAAGAGTCACCCTCCTGCCTCCAAGGTTCCAAGGTTTAACAGCCCTCATGAGAATGGAATGTCTTGTCATAGATGAATTACTTTGTTCTGGATGAAGGAGGGACAGAACCTTGCTGTTCTTCTTACAGCTCAGAAGTGTAAGAAAGTAAGGGATGAAGGGAAGGGGTGGGGTATAGGAAGGAGAGTAGCTGAGAACACTGGTCATAATCACAAGGGGCTGACACACATGTGCTCCATGGGTGCGGGATGCTGGCACTTGGCCTTTTTCACTACTCTACCAGCTCAGTGTTAGGGTTCAAGTTTACCAACAAGGAAGCTATGTGCTGAACAGTTAAAAGGCTTGAGGAAGATCACACAGCTAGAAGACAGCAGAGCTAGAATCCAAGGCCCATGAATGCTTGCTTCTGGGTACTTAGGAGCTGAGGAAACAGGCTTGAGAGCCAAGGAGAGCCCTGCCCAAGGCCAGCTGCTGACTTAGGGTCAGGGTCAAGATAAGAAGCCAAGTGTCCAGAGTCTCTGACATGCAGTAGTTCTCTCTGGACAGTTTTTATAACTGCGCTCATAT